TTTATTATTTCTTTGTTGGGGGAACCTTCAAACTCTTCTCTAGTTCTTTATAAAGTGTGTAAAAGTTGTGAACTTCTCTATTAAGCTGTAGAACATTAGAACTTTATTTTATAATATTTTATTTTATTTTGTGGTCCTGGGGATGGAACTCAGGGCTTCTACATTGAGGTAAATCTCCAGCCCTTTTTTTGGGTACCGGAATCGGAATAAATGACCATGTGCTTGCTTAGGCCACTGAGCTAAATCCCCAATCTTCCAGCCCTTTTTATTTTCTATTTTGAGACGAAGTCTGGCTAAGTTGCCCAAACTGAACTCAACTTGCAGTCTTGCCTCAGCTTCCCAGAGTGCTGGGATCGGTTTCTGTTTTTCCACGGATGTACTCTAGTCAGAAGACCCACACAGCCCTACTCAGTCCTCTGCCCAAGCTCAGTTGAGGTGCTGGCCAGCTCTTTTCCTTGGGGAGCTGGGGCCACTTCCAAGCTCACTTATACTCATTTATTTATTTGGATCGAACTCAGGACCTTACCCTTACCAGACAAATGCTTGAGCCACTGAGCTAAATCCCCTGCCATGCCCCCTGCTTCTGTTCTTGGCAGAATTTTGCTCCAGAGTTGAAGTTTGCGCTTCCTCACTGGTGGCTCGTTTATTCTCCAGCACTGCAACAAACGCTGTCATCTGAGATTGGAGGAAACCTAAACAGCAAGCTACTTCCCAAAAGCCCAGGCCCGGCAAGGATTTCTGTCACCCTGCAGGGCTGAGCTCAGTTCCTCTGCCTGGAAAAGCATGTGTTCCTCCTTCCTCGAAGGCGGAGGTCCTGGAAGCCCCCTCATTCTTCCGCAGGTGACTGCGTTGTCCTGGTATCTGGGCACTTCTTTCCTACAGTGGAGTCTCCCTCACACAACTGAGGCTGGACCCCCGGGAACCCATTCCAGGACCCAGCGGCCTCGAAGTTAAGGCCCACAATTCGTTGGTTTACCTAACAGGCATAGCTGGGGTCCTGGGATGACCAGGTCCAGGTTCTACCTTAGCAGCTCAGGAGCCCGATGCGCCAGGCAGTCAGCTGGGGGCGCTCCAGGTCCAGTCCTGGCACTGCAGGGACCCGGTCGGCCCCGCCCACCAACAGGCTCCGCCCACGCCCGCTGTGAGGCCCGCTCCCTCCTCTGGTGGGTGCCGCGATTCCCGCCTCCGCCTTCATCCTGGGCCTGGGGTGACCCAATGGACGCTACTCGTCACCGCACTCGCAAGCTCCCGGGCAGGGCCGCGGGGCTGCGTGGACTGAGCCCCTCGCAGTACCTGAAGACTGCACCCGGGGGCCGTCTGGGCGAGCATTCCAGCTGTTCTCGGCTGCCTCAGGGAATGCACCACGTGAGGTGGGATGGCCGGGTCCCCTGCCGCGCTGGGGGCCCGCCAGTCCTGCCCGCCGGCCCTGCCTCGTTGAGAGCTGTCCCCAGCCATTGGGGACCCAGTTCCCTGCGAAGGATTGAGCCCTCTGCCTTGGCCCACTTTGAAAGCCTTATCTGAGTATAGATTCCAGAAACAGCATTCCACCCCCGGGTGTTGGTGCGTCCCTCTGTCTGTTGTGGCAATGTGAAAGCAGTCGTCAGGGCTCATCTTCAGGGAAAGATACCTTCGTGTCTGCCGCAGACATAGAGGGGTCACGCGCTGGAGATTTCTTTTCCTCATACTCCGCTCAAGGCAAGTGCTGTGACCCAGCCAAAGTCAGACAGCCCCGGTTTTTGGTAGGGAGGACCTCAACTGCAATCTAGCAAACTGTTTTTCCACGGGAGGCACAGGAGTGAGGGCCCCGAAGCGGCTCTGCTAAACCAGAGGTGGGAACCGGCTCAGCCTGACATGGCACCCTGGAGAAGCACAAAAGGTTTCCTCCTTCAGAATGTTTCAAATAATAGCCTGCCAAGAAGTTTTTCCTGCAATGTCAACAGTGTCGAGTTCCCCCAAACCCCAAAATACCAAATTTCCAAATCACTTGTTGGACATAATGTTTTTCTACTCCCTGGGCTTTGGCACAAAAGCAACAAAAGAAGTTTAGTACTGAGTTTCTTGTAAGGAAGCAGGGAAGAGGGTGACAGCCCTGGGCAGAAGTTGGGGAGTCCCGTTGGGAGCGCGGAGCTCCATGGGAAGCCTCCTGTGCTCCCCAGCTGGGGTGCTCCATACTGGCCCGGGAACAGGCCCTCTTTGTTACAGACAGGAATCCCAAGTGATCTCTTTTAGTTATGTAAATGTGGCTGCTTGGGCACCCCAACCCCAGGGAGAGCAGAATGGGATATTTTGGGGTCTGATAAATAAAGCTGCCCTTTTCTAAGGCCTTTTGGAGAGCTGGTGGCAGAGAACCCGAGGAGACTTCGGCAAAGGAAGCCCAGAATCTTGGGGAAGGAAAAGATGCCCGCCTGCTGTCCCAAATCTCAAATTCATCCTTACTGAAGTTGGAAACTGCTGTAGTAGCCCAGAGCCTGAGCGAGTCTGTGCAGCTGGTGGGGACCTCTGGTTCCCCTCAGCCTCCTGCTGCTCCCTCCAATGGCTGAGCTGTGAGGTGGCAGTGGAGTACACTTGGGTGTCTGGAAGCCCCCAGGCCTGAGAAGCCCCCAGGCTGTGCAGGCCCCTTGGTTACCAGTGTCACGGTGTGGAGGAGGGGAACAGCTGTGCCACCAGGGGAGCACCAGGAAGCTCTTAGCTAATTCAGTGACTAGATTTTCTGTGCAACTGTAACCAAATATGGTTATATTTGGACCTCGAGCTAATCATACAGATTACATCTGGTAAATACCACAGGGCAAGGATATAAAATGTGCTCCATTCAGTGGCAATGGTTATCATTATTACAGTGTTTGAGGCAGAAGGTGACACCCCAAAGCCCTGCACTTTGGCACAGGAGGCTTTGAGCTAAAGTAGGCTGGAAGGCAATCTCTGTGCCTGACTCTTCTTTTCCCCTGAGGCCCCTCCTAGTTCCCTGGAGATGGGGAGGAGGACCCCAGAATTCTCTCCCCTGCAGCCAAGCCCGGGACAGAGCCCTCCCCCAAGTAAACCACAATATCTGGATGGGTCACACTCTTCCTCCAGCAAGACCCTCATTCCAGGCCCCTGCTGTGCCTGGAGACAGGAATCCCAGCGGACTGCCCTCCCTGGCTCCCTCTTCAGAGTTACTTGTTATCGGGTTATCTGTTATCGCCAGGTCAGACCATTAGATCTTTCCTGGGGACCTGGGTCTCCCTTTCTGAAGGCTCCTATGTCACAGAAAACATTGTGAAGGAAACCTGTGTGCTCTTCCCTTGTTCAGCCACCTTTTGTTAGGGGACTGTTGGCTGTGACCTTTCTAATCTGGTCAGTCCTGCTGTAAGTGCCAGCATCTTCCAGAAAGACCTTTGTCTATGTTTCTCCAAAGGATCAGAAGTGAGCTTTAAAAAGGCCATGGCTGTCTTCAGAGGCAGCCAGGATGGAGGAGGCTGGGGACACATTCCAAAGCAGATTGCAAAAGCTGGGGGGCTGGGGATTTAGCTCAGCGGCATAAGCACCTGCCTTGCAAGCAGGCGGTTGTTTGTTTGATCCCCGGTACCAATTAAAAAAAAAAAGAAAAAAATAGAAAAGCAAAGGCAGCAAAGTAGGGTGGCAGGAGCCCCATCAGGAGTCCGCTGAGGAGTGTCTGGACAGGGCCTTGGCAGTTTTCCTCCTAGGACTGAGCCCCTTCTTTGTGGCACTGTCTCTTGCTAAGGGGACAGAGGAGCCAGGGACAGGGAGGGAGGCCTGGGGCTGTGTACCTGAGAGTTCTGCCTAGGCCTGGAACTTGCACCTGCCTGTGCTGTGGATAGTGGGGGGACTGGGGCTGAGTACATAGTTTTGAGGTTTTTGGCTGATTTGCTGGGTGCTTTGGTGGCTCCCCAGGGCCTGCAGAAGCACCCTAATTTCCCTGCTCCACCACTGCTGCCTGGGCTATATCTCTACGTGGTGTTTTCCGGGCTTTAACCTCTTTGTTCCACCTGTCCAGCTCTTTACTACAGGCGTTTGTCCACTCCTTCAAGACACAGGTGCTCTGCAAGCAGGCTGGAGCTGGTCCCCTGCTGCGACACTCCTGGCCCTTCCTTCTGCTGTGCCACTGCTGGCCTCTCCCTCTCCCCAGCAGGAGGCAGTGAGCTGGCCTGAGACACGGCTGGGGAAGGCAGCTTTGCAGTGGCCCTGTGAGGGGGCAGGTGGCCCCTGAGTCACAGGACCCAGGATGGGCCCAGCCTGCTCCTACTGAGAGGATGGTGCAGAGCTTCAAAGCCACTGCCCTAGGCGAGCTCCAGCCCTGCTGCTGGTCCTCTGTCCTCAGGGCGGAGACACCTGCCCAAGAGTACCTGGCCCTGTTTGCCTCCAGCTTCAGGGCCCTGACCTCCTTGATTTCTACATAGCCCTTGGGTGCAGCCATCACAGGTCCCCAGGGCTGTGGGCAGTGTCTCCTCTACCTCTCCAACTGTCCCTGAGCTGCCCTCTCCCTGCCCCAGACCTCTCAGCAGATGAGGCATGTGATCCTCTGGCTCTGCAGTCCCAGAGTAGGACCCTGTGTTTGCACCCAGTTCTGAACAGGCCAGCCAGCAAGAAGAGCTGGCGAGGCAGTCCTGTCCCTTTTCCCTCCCTGGGGCTTGGATTCGGGCAACTGATAGCTTGGGCTGCTCCTGGGATCCCCTGCTGCCCTTGCATCCAGCAAGTAAGCAACCCAGGCCAAGGGCCCTACACAGAGCAGGCACCCCAACTCCCAGGCCGGAACCCCATGGGGTCTGTGGCAGTGCTTCCAACTGGGGGGGCCGCAGATCCCACCCTGTGGAAGGTTGGCTATGCCCTAAACAGCTGGGTACCAGGCCTCCTGCTGCACCCCACACCATCACTATAATCCTAGTGTCCCCTCCCCTAAGGTCCTTCACAGGAGCCTCTGCACTCAGACAAGGAAGCGATGTCTCAGAGATCTCTAGGACCTGGGTCCCAGGCAGGCCTCATCTGGAATAGCAACAGGCTTTCATGCCAGAGAAAAACTGGTCCCGTTTTATTGAGAAAATAGAGACCATCCCTCCACCTTTCCCAGGGGACTCCTTCCCGAAGTCAGGGTGGCACCCTGTGAACCTGCCACCATGGGCCCCTGTCCCTTTCTTCACAGGAGAAATTGGGGTGCAGGTGGGGAGGGACTTCAGGGGCTGTGCAGAGCAGGGGCGCTTGGTGGGGCTGAGGTGGGGAGGGAGAGGGAGGATCCCTTCCCCTTCAGGCCCAGAGTCTGCTCCCTCTGAATTCTTCATAAATAAAAGTTCACAGTAAGATTCAAGTCCACTTTCAGGACCAAACTGGCCAGTTTTGGGCCAGGGCGACGGCCCTGGTGGACACTCGCTCTTCCACCCTGTGTCAAGACGGGGCGGGAGGGGCTTAGCTGAGGTAGTGAGGGCCAGTGACAGGGTCCCATGGTCACACTTCTGGACCTGAGGGTATGACAGGAGTGGGGGCTGCATCTGCATCTGCGGGAGCTCCTTGTCAGCCCCAAGACCTAGGGGTGGGGTGAGGGCACACCTGTGAGCCGGCACAGGGCTGAGCTGCTTTGGCTGGGGCCCTGGGACACTGAGGCATGTCACAGGAGACGGCCCTGTGAGGACAAGAAGCTGCAGAGCCCCTGGGCCAGTCTCAGCCTGGGTACCTGAGCACAGGTTTCTGGCAGAGGCCACCAGGGCCTCGAAGCAGGTCTGAGGGGCCATGCTGCTGAGCCTGGCTTGGAAGGTCCCTGCTGTTCTTCAGATGCCCTGAAGCCTGGGCAGCACCCCATTCCCAAGCCTCACAGTTGGGGAATTATCTGCCTGGGAGGTTGCCCTGCAGCTCCCTGCACCCCGCCACACCCAGGGGCATAGAAGGCCCAAACCCTCCACCTCCCTGGGGACCAGAGGCTCTGTCTAGCACTGTGTTCCAGCCGCAGGATGCTGGCTAGTGGCCCCCCTGGCGTCAGAGCACCTGTAGCTTGCGGGAGCAGGTGAGGTTGCTGTGCACCAGCCCCCACATGGCCAGCAGCTCAGCAGGTAGCAGCTTGTGCACCACGAGCATGGAGCGGAAGAAGCAAGGCTCCTTGTTCATGTGGCTAGCTCGGTTCCGTGAGATGCCAAAGGTCTTGAAGCCTGAGTGGCCTGTGGGCTGCACGCCCAGCACCTCCAGACACATGCCCAGGAAGACGTCGTCGATGGGGTAGATTTCCAGGGTGTCGCAGGCATGGTGCAGGCGCCGTGCCAGCCCTCCGGCCATGAGGAAGCCGCCGCCGCCGGCATACGGCGGGTAGCTGGGCTTGGCGTAGAGCACAATTGGGATGTAGTATTTGTTGTCCTTTTTACGGATGGGCCTCGCGTGCTGCAGGACATCACCCACAAACAGGTTCTCCTGGGGCTGCCGGTCCGCCAGGAACTCCAGCAGGTTGGTGGGGTTGACGAAGACGTCATCGTCGCCCTTGAAGACAAAGGGGACGTTGGGGCAGTAGATGTCCAGCCACTTGAGGAAGTGGATCTCCTTGAGGGTCAGGTTGAAGAAACTGTCCAGAAAGTCCCACTGCAGGATGTCGCTGTACAGGCGGTCCTCATAGGCCAGCAGCTGCTGGTAATGGGCCCGCTCTTCCTGCTTGGACGCCGTGCCCAGCAGGAAGAGAGTGCGCACAGCACCCCGGCCTCTACCTGCCGACTCCCACTCGCGGCCCCAGGTCTGGCGGATGGCCTCGCGGCGGTCGTGCTGTGTGATGACTGACTTGACCACTACTAGCAGGTACACATCACCCCCACACTTCTCAGGGTGGTTCAACAGCATAGGAAAATACCGGCAGTGACGATAGGTCAGAAACTGCCGAAAGTGTGGCTCCAGGCTCTGGAACCAGGAGAGGTGGGTCAGGTTAACATTGGCTGAGCAGTTCGTGGTGGTCACGTCCCAGACCTGGGGCCCCTGAGAAGTCACTGGGCTGGGGGCCACCATGTCACTGGGGCTCTTCCAGAAGTTCTTGAAGTTTACCTGGGGGCCACTTGGCTTCTGGCCCTTCAGTGGTTCCGGTGTGGCTGGGAGGGTTTCCTGCAGAAACTGGTCAGGGGGCAGAGTGCGCTGGAAAACTGTGACTGTCACCAGGACTGCCAGGGCCAGGGCCATGCTCCTGTAGAAGTTTCTCTTCCTGGGGACGGAGAGGGGGGAAGCTGTGAGTGGTGAGCCCTCCAAGGGGCTCAATGGCCCCAAGTGAGTCCCTGGGCTCTGTTCCCAACAGGTCAAACCTGTCGCCCCCCCCCATGATGACTTCCTCACTCAGGGGACACAGGGGATCAACTACTGCAGTTCCAACCTCTATCTCCAAGCCACAGCCTCACTCCCCAAATGGACACAACACACAGCCGGGGCACTAGTGAAGGTGGAGGCATCTAGTGGAACACACTTGGGGAAATGCTGTCACCTTACTCCAAGGGACACTGGTGAAAGCCTTTGCCCTGTCCCCTGCCTGGTGGTTTCCATGTCCTGGTGCAACCCAGGTGCCATGGGCAGTGGTATCACGATGTGACTGAACCAGGGGGACCTGGTGGGCAGAGGTGGGTCCCTCTGGGCAGCCTGGGGGTGCAGTCACTTTGTGGGGCACCGGCCAGTCTGTCCCAACTGTCCCAGCAGAGGGCAGTCCTCATAGTTGAGAAAGCCCTAGAAGTGGCGTGAGGACCCCGAACTTGATCAGTGCCCCTCCCCATTTTAACACCCCAAGAGCAGGAGTGAGGTCTCCTGCTCTGCAGGACACCCCCTGCGGCAGTCTCCCCACCACACCCACAGAGGAAGCATAAATTCCAGTTTCTTTCCTGGAGCTGCAGCCTCTAGGGTCTTGGACCTAAGCTCGCTCCCTAAGACCCTCCCGCCTCAGCTCACCCAGCGGGAGGGGAGCGCAGGGGGCCCCGAGTGCCGAAGAAGGCAGGCTACAGCCACCGAATAGACTTCGAGGCCAAGATGCAGAGCTAGCTAGGGAGCGAGGGGACGCCCGGGGTGGCCCCAGGGCTGGCGGGCTGCAGGTCCAGCACCTGGCTGAGCCCACAGAGCGCGTTCCTTCCACGGGTCCCCAAGGTTTCCTTTTTTTTTTGTCTTTTTCATTTTTATCAGTACCAGGGATCGAACTCACGACCGCCTGCTTGCAAGGCAGGTGCTTATGCCGCTGAGCTAAATCCCCAGCCCCCCCAAGATTTCCTGGTTACAAGGTGGAGGAAGCCAGAGTCGCCTCGGGTACCAGGCTAGGGGGTGTGACTCGGCGCAGCGCACCCCGGCGGGCGGTGAGGGAGTGCCCGGCTTCTCGGTCTGCAGCAACCCCCGCCCCGGCTCTAGGAAGTCCCGTACTCTACTTCGGAGTGCAGGCGGGGTGGAGGTCGAGCACTTCCCAGAGAAGAACCCAGGAGGGCGGAGGGACGAGGGATAAGGGGTGCCCGCGGGTCTCCGAGCCCGGGCCGGCAGCATCGGGGCCCTGGGGCCAGGAGCAGGGCGAGCCCGGGGCGCCCCGCAAGGACCCCGACTCACCAGAGCGACATGGCGACGCGGCTGGGCGGCGCGGGGCGTGCGGGACGCAGGTCTGCGTGCGGCCGGGTCGGCGGGACTAGGCGGAGGCCGGGCCGCGCCCCTGCGCTTCTCCTTTCCCGGCGGAGGGCGGGAGGGGCGGGGGAGGGGAGGGGAGGGGCGGGGCGGCGGCCAGGTGCGTTAACCCCTTCGGCGCCCCTGACCCGCGACCCCCGTCCGAGCGTCCGGTCCCCGCGAGTCCGGCTCGGAGCGCAGCGCGCTGTGTCGCGGCTCTTGGGGTCGCCGACCACACCGGACACGTGGGACACGCGACGCCCGCCCACTCCACGCCCACTCCGTCGCCTCCCCGCGGGGGCCCCAGGCGGACCCGCCCCGGGCTGGGTGTGGGCACCTGCGAGCGAGATTCCGTTTCCCTCCGCTGCTGGCGCCCTTTCCTTCTTCCAGAACCCGGGACCCGCACCTGGGTAGGGCCTTGAGGAAGAGGTACCCGGCTGGGAGCAAAGGCGACCCCGCCCGGAGAGAAAGGGTGGGAGGAGACCGGGCTGCCCAGGTCGGACCCCAACCTGGCCACGGTGCCCTAAGGCTTCTCCATCCTTAGGCGGTACCTTCTCCCCCTCTGAGGGTCCCCCTCATGGCCCAGGAGAGTTTGCCGTCGCTATCTAGGGCCCCATCGTCGTCCTTAACAACCAACACCTTTTCAGCCAACCTCAGTACTCCACTCAAAACCCTTTTTTGTCTCCAAGCCTTTATTGATCCCCTTTTGTGTCAGGCACGGCTCCTCTAGGACAATGGGCTGCACACAGACAGATCAGGAAGTGGGCATGGTGGCCCAGGCTGTGTGATGGCCCAGGCCTGTAACCTGAAGGATCCTCTGACAAGTCCCTCTGCTGGCCTCCTACAGTCTTTTGATCCTGTTCCAGGTTGGAATCCCAGCACCGAGCACATAAGACTTCAAAAGTGACCACAGAGATGGGGTATACACCTGTAATCCCAGTTACTGGGGGAGGCTGAGGCAGGAGGATTGCAAGTTGAGGTCCAAAAATAAAAATGCCAAGGATGCAGCTCCAAGATCCCTGGGTTCATTCGTGGGGACAGAGGAGAGCCTGTAGAACTGAAACATATGTTTTGTGGTTTGCTAATAACAGATAACGCAGCAGCTATAACCTGCCAAGCCCAGTTTCAGGCCCGGGGCATGAACGGCTCACTGGGCTCTGGCCTGCATGGTAATTACTTCTGACTGATGGAGGCGCAGAGAGGACAAGCCCAAGTGAGTGGCTTTCCTGCCCCGGGGCACACAGAGGGGCCAGGAGGCCCCAGCTGAGTCCCAAGTGTGTCAATAGCCCCTTTCTTTGACGCTCAAGTTCCCTTGGAGGGGGAGGAAAAACTTGAGGAACAATGAAATATTCCCAGATGTTGTAAACTGTGACCAATGAATTCGCAGAACCTTCCAGGCCGAATTCCAGAGGCGAATCAGGTCAGCACCGACCTGAAGCACCCGGCAGGAGGAGGAAGGCGTGGCCTCAGCCCGAGGTCCCATTGGCCAGGCTGCCTGTCAGTGAGGACTAGTTGCAGCCCCATTGGCCCCTTTATCCCATCTTGGCCCGCCCCCCTCACGTTTGGCCGCCCCCTCCCGACCACAAGGACAGGCTTGGATCCCCTGGACCCGGGAGGGACAGCTAGGATCTCTGTGCCTGGCCTGAGGACTCACCTGTCACCTAGGGTCTCTGCAGCCTCTAGGAGAGGGCTGGACACAACTGTCCCTGATAGAGGTTGAGAGCTCAGTGTTGGGGACTGGCGGGATGGTTGGGGAGGCTGGGTCCCAACCATGTACTTCCTGGCTGCCACTTAGGGCAGGTGGCTAATCCCCCTGAGACCTCAATTTCCTGCCTGTGCAGAGCTGTGTGAGATGACGCATGGGAAGCACGCACGTGAGTGTCCCCTGCCTGGCGTGCCTCGTGATGAAAGCATGGGTGGCTGCCAACATTTTGATCATTGCTATCTGTCCTCTATGAGACCCCAGCCCTAGGAAGATGCAGATAGGGACCACGGCAGGGGGAGCCAGCCAGACAATCCAGGGTTTGCAGACAGGATCCGGTCCCCAGGCTCTCACATGATGGGATTATTTGGTATGCACTCAGGCTAGACTCAGAAAGGGGAATAGAGTGAGTGACAAGCACATGAGTTCCTGAGGCTGGGCAGGTGTGGGGACTGGGAGCCTGGCTGGGCCCTGAGGTCCCCCTATCGTCCTTGTCCCCTGGTTAACCCCCGTGGACGTGGCTGATCACTGTAGACCAGTGCAGAACTGGGGAGTTATGTGAGGCCATTCAGCAGGTGGGGTGTGCTGGGGCTGTAGATGGGGTGTGCTAGCAGGTGATCTAGGCATTCATCAGCTCTGTGCCCTTGGCATGCTGCCCTGGCAGAGGCCTCTATGAGCTGGGATGTGAGAGGATCCTAAGGACCCCTCCCCTCTTCCTTTCCCCATTCTCTCTTTCCTCACGACCTCTTTTGGCAACTCACTTCTGCTTCTCGTCCCATTTGTTGGGGATCTGGGTCCTGCTGGTGGCCACAGCATGAGGAACATGTTGGGAGACATCTACCAGCCAGGGCATTGGGAAGGAAAATGGGGCTGATCTGGGCCAGAGGGAATCAGAAGCAGCATGCGAGGAGCCCGGGTCTCCCTGGAGAGAGCCTGGCATCGGCAGTAGTAGAGAACCGTGCTGCGGTCAGCACTCCCCGGAAACTGCGGGCAGTGCGTGTGAATGAATCTCAGTGTTTGAGAGGCCAGGAGTAGAAATTTCCACTCCCTCGGGGCACAGTCTGGGCTTTAAATGTGGCCGTCCACACTCCAAGCGGAGGCTCTGGGCATTAGCACCAGAGGACCGTTCTTCAGTGAAAGGAGTAACGGCACTAAAGATGTGTGTCTGGCAGGAACTTGGCCTCCCCGGGCAGCAGGGCTGGGGCCCAGAATTTTCTCTAATCAACCCTACGCCCCATCATGATGTGACTTTCAGTACTGTGGGGCATGGGTCAAGCCCTCCCCCGCAGCCAGTCCGCCCTGAGAGGCGCCTCCCTGAACTCGGCCTGTGAACTCTGTGCTGTGCAGGGAACTGCTCGGTGAGCCTATTTCCTCGGAGACTTGATTTCCTCATATACGGCCTTCTAATGAGGGCGTGTGGGACTTAGATTTCTCTAGTCCTTCCAGGTCACCAATACGTGCTACAGACAACCTGGCTCACCACGAAGGGCAGTGCTGGAGGGCTGCCTGGGGCGGTGCTGGAGGAATGCATGCCAGTGAAGTGGGTCTGTGCCTGTGCTGGTGTCCTTCAGAAACCACAGCCCTTTGAGGCAGGGCAGAACCTAAATCAGGGCCCAGGGAGTCGGGGATGGAGAGTGAATGGGGGACACAGTTCCCTGGGCCAGATCCTCTCCCAAAGGGCTGGAAGAGTGGGAAGAGGCTGCAAGAAGCCTCAGAGGCAGGGGAGATGGAAGCAAGTGAGTGTGGAGGCAGAGGAGGTGGCATCTGGGCCACGTCCAGGAAGTCACCAGGGAAGACTGAGCGGCAGAAGCCCAGGTTGCAGGAGCTGAGCTGAACAGAGGAAGGTCTGGGGGCTGGCTGAAGTCCATGCGCAATTCTCTGGACCCTTTCCTGTGCTTGGGCACCTGCCAGCTGGTCGGGGGACAGCTAAGGACACCCATTGCTTTGTGAAGGCTGAGCTGGGCAGCCAGACAGAAGCCAGAGTTCAAAGAAGCCCTGGCTTCAAGGGCAGAGACGGCCAAGAGGCCTGGCGGGGAGGCCAAGGCAGAGCCGGAGGGAGGGCCGGTGTTCCCCTAGGTGTCCCGTGTGCTGGGCAGTCCCCCAGCCTACTCAGGTACACACACAGATGCACACACCCCAGCGCACGCAGAAGCATGCAGGCACAGATGCCAGAGCATATACATCCAGGGACAGAGACACGCAGAGAGGAACAAGGCTACACACACGTGTAGGTCACTGACACACGCACAGAGAAGTGTGCATGTTCAGAGACACAGGGACATGCACATGCACCCTTAAACCTGCACACTCACCATCCACACATACAGATCCATCCATGCACACATACCCGTGAGCTCTTCTGGGTGGAAGGGACCTTCCTCAGCTAGCTCCTCTACTACCAGTAAAACCTTGTCTGGCGAGCTCCTGGGAATAGGACCAGGCAGGTCCCTGCTGCATTCCTGAGCACCCTTATTTGGTTGACAGGTTTTTGTTTGTTTTGGTTTGGGCTTTTTGAGGCAAGGTCATAAGATATAGAATTCATGGTTGGTCTGAACTCTCATCGATCCTCCTGCCTCAGCCTGCCTATTTGAGCTGAGTCGCCACTCTTGACTGTTTCTTCCTGGGACCCCCTGGGTGTTGTTTGAGAACCCTTCCTAGCCACATCTGCACTCAGCATCCCTGACTTTCTCCCCTCACCAACACCAGCCTCCTGTTTACACACACTGTGCCTTTCTGAATTGGGTGAACTCCTGCTTGCCCTTGAAAATCCACTCTAAGTTCCCCTCCCCTGGAATGGGTGCTTCAGGCCTTCCTGGCATCACTGTGTCCTCTGCTACCCTGCTTCACGCCTTCCTGGCATCACTGTGTCCTCTGCTACCTTTGCCAGCACAGTGGGTACAGACGGCAGGGTGGGTCCTTCTGTCTTCCTGCCAGGCAGGGGCAAGTTCTGCAGGCATGGGTGGGGGTGGGGAGGTGAGGGTCATAGTTGGAGCTGACAGGGTGTCCCCACCCTACGCCATCTGCAACCCCGCTCCCAGCACAGCCATCCAGATCCACGCTGACACACTCGCACCAGGGTGGCCAGGGGCCCTGGTCTTGGACAGCTGTCCCCACGCCGCACCCTCCCCCTCGGCCCAGTGACTCACAGCTCTGCCGGCTCGGCGGCCAGTATGGGACACACAGCCGCCTTTCAGCCCCATGGCCTCAAACACTAGCTCAGTCTTCCCAGCTGACGCCTCCCTCCAGCCGGCCACCCGCCCAGCTACAGGGCCCAGGCCACTCTGGGCTCCCCCCTCCGGCACTGGGCCCCTGTCTCTCATCAGCCGGACCCGGTCCAAGGCTGAGCTGAATGGCAGCCTTTTCAGTGGCCAGGCCAGCCTGGGGCACTGTGGGCCGCCCTGAGCATCTGCTCCGCTGGCCCAGAAGGCTGTGTTCCTTAAGGGGTGCGATGCAGGGTTCCCATTTCACTGGGGAGAAAACAAGTTCTGTGATGGAGCTGGAACTCTGTTTCAATTAAAAAAAAATATATATATTTTTTGTTTGCACCAAGGGATCGAACTCATGACGTCACACTTTTGAGGCAGGAGCTGTGTGATGAGCTATATCCCTGGCAATTAAAAAAAAATTTTTTTTTTAAGTTTTTGAGGAAAGGTCCAGATCTACAGTTCCAGCTGGCTGTGAACTCACTATATAACCAGGTGCTGGGATGGCAGGCTAAAATGGCCCCACTCCCCACTTTGGAGAGTTTCTCCTCCAGGGTGCAGCCAGGAGCTGGAGGGGAGGCCCCAAGCAGGTACTGCAGGATGCCCATCCGGACCCCAGTTCAGGCCTCTTATCAGGCACAGTGTCCAGCACTGCCACCTCTGGGCCAGCCAGGGCTCTCGCTTGGGGTTCCAGAGGGGAACTGAGTTTGGGGAACTTGACTTCACACTCCCATCCTTTACTGTGGGCCGAGGTTCACAGAGGAAGCAGTCTGCAGAGCCACACTGGGACCAGGAGTAAATGCAGGGCTAGAATCTTGTGCCCAAGGTTCAGAAGCTCAGTGGTGACAAAGAAATGCCCCTTCCTAGCTGAGACACCTCAGGAGGCTGAGGCAAGAGCATCTCTGAGATTTCAAGACCAGCCTGAGCTACACAGCAAGAGCCCGAATCAAAAAAACCAAATACCAAGTGAATGCTCCTTCCTCACAAATGTGCACCCCGTGTCCTCCAGGCTCCATCCTAGCTCACACTCGGGAGAAGGGCCTGGGCTAGTGTGGTCGAGGTTGTAGAGCCAGAAGCAGGGAATTCTGAGTTACTGGGTCCAGTCTAATGGTGGGGGAGAGAGGCAGCAGAAGAAAGGTCAGGGATATGGGCAGCTGGAGGCTTTGGCTACTTTCCATGGGGCTGACATGTGGGGACATGCGTGCTGGTCTCAGGGAGTCGGGGTGGCTCCCCGCCACCCCTCGGGACCTGCAGGACTCCCCCGCCCCCAAGCGTCTTCCTGCAGGCTCAGAGCCTGGGTTCTGCCTGCTTCATGGAGCACAAGGAGTGCCTGGAAGCCTGGACTTTGACCTGAGTCCTGCACCAGCCTCAGACAGGGCCCGTTGACCAGCATGTGCTACCAGGAGTAGCTAAGCTGGTGGTGATGGCACCAGAAAGTCCATGTGCTCCCTGTCATTGTCATGGCTTTGGTTTCAGGACCCTGCAATTCTGGGCTTGTGGTTTTTGTCACCTGTAACTGAAGATTCCTTGCGGATGATGTCACTGTTGTTTGTTTCCTTCAGTCTCCCGCAGGCAGCCTGCCCTTCCCAGAGGACAAGGACAGGGACACAGACAGGGACACCCAGAGCCTGTTCAGCCAGCAGCCTCTGCACAGGCTGGGGGACAGGAGGGTCTAGGGAAGGGAGAGCCCCCCTGCGCCGTGGAGCCTCAGAAGGTTGAGGTTTCTCTTCCCGGAGGCCCATTCTGCCCTTCCTTGTCACCATCCCAGGACAAGTGACAAGAGCCCTGGGCAGTGGCTTGGCCAAAGGGTGTGAAGGCCACAGCATTAAGATAGCGTTGTCTTGAGACATTTCTAGCTAAATGGCTAAGTGGATGCACCTTGAGACCGTACTCTTTTTGTGTTGTTTGTTTTTGTGGTACCGGGGATGGAACTCAGAACCTTATTCCTGCCAGGCAGGAGCTAAGCTAAATCCTTGGCCCTCGTGAAATAAAGCAGAAACACACATTCAAATACCAAGTGACTTCTCTGCTGTGAGCCATCGAAAGGAGGACCACAGTGTACAATAGGTACTGGAAAGAAATGTTCAAATGGGAGGGAAGCGAGGCAAGGGGGAGGGGAAGGAAGAAGGGCCAAGAGAAAAACAAAGGGGGACATGGAAACAAAGGTTTTATAAATAAGGAGGGCAAGGCTGGATGTGCTGGCACATGCCTATAATCCCAGCACTCCGGAGGCTGAGGCAGGACGACCGCCGTGAGTTTGAGGCCAGCTTGGTCCATATAAATGACTTCAAGGCTGCCTGCACTACCTGGCGAGACCTTGTCTCAAACAAACAAACCAACAAACACAATAAAGAGGGGAGGAGGGGTTGGAGGAAGGGGAGCAGAAAGGGAAAAGAGAAGCAGGAGGTACTGTGGGCAGGTACGTGCTATTCACCGCAGCGAATGTTATCATACTGTGTATATTTTAATATACCAAGAAATAAATAACCGCTTCTGTGTCACAGCTTGCAGTAGGGTTGTCCAAGAGCAGCCCTGCTTCAGATATTTGCTTTATGCAAGTTAAAGGCCCTTGGCGATGACAGCAGTCCTTGTTGAGCTGTTTCCTAAATAGAATATTTACTTTCTGATGTGTAGTTCTAATCCCTTTTTAAAAGGGATTAAAAAGTCTCCTAATGTTCTTCAATATGTAAGACAAAAGGCATAGCCAGATGTGGTGGCTCACATCTGTAATCCCAGCACTGGGGAGGCTGAGGCAGGAGGATCGTTTTGATTTTGAGACCAGCCTGGGTTACAAATGAGCTCAAGGCCAGTCTGCACTGCATAGTGAAACCCTGTCTAAAAAGATGAAGAAGGAGGAGGAGGAGGAGAATGGGGGAGGAGGAGGAGGAGGAGGGAGAAGAGGAAGACGCAGTGTCGCGGCCTGAAGGAAGACTAGAAGCCACAGGAGACCAAAGACCAAGCCTAGTGTTTTCAGTCCATGCAGAATCCCCTAGAGACAAATCCCAGGTGGACCCAGGAGAGAACAGAAGAAATGAGAGAGGGTTCCAAGTGCCCAAGCAGAGCCAGTGCATGCACAGGGAGGAGACGAGGAAGGAGGAGAGAAAGGAGAGGGGAGGAGGAAAGAAAGAAGAGGGTTTCCATTTTTGTTTGTTCGTTTTTTTTTTTTGTTTTTTTTTTTGCCAGAGTCTCACTATGTAGTTCAGGCTGGCCTCAAACTAGCAGCGATCCTCCTGCCTCAGCCTCTCCAGTGCTAGGATTACAGGCATGGGCCACCACACCTATCCAGAGATGCTATTTTTACTTATTGGGGAGAGACCACAGCCTGTGAGCCCCAAAGCTCCCTGACGCCCTCCCAGGCCTCCTTCCCAATGCTGCCACCTGCCTTCTGGGAAATCTCTGCTCCCATCTGCTTTCTTCTCTCAGGCCCCTGAAGCATACGCCAGGACTCTTTCCCAGAACCTCTGGTCCCCCTTGCATCTGGAGCCCAGCCCGTCTTGCCCTCCTTCGACCCTCAGTCTGCCCATTCCAAGCACAGATTGAGCAATGCAGGGTGCGCAGGCCTGGAACCAGGCGCAGGGAGGGGACCGGGCATCTCCTCCACACAGCACCGAAGGCATGATTCACATCAGAAAAGATGGATGATCACACTTCCTCAGGATTAAGAATGTCTGCTCTTTGAAGGTCATTTGAGAGAGAATGGAAGGACAGGCCACACGCAGACTGCGAGAAACCACTTACAAAGCATGTTTCTGATGTGGGTCACTAATAAAGAACTCTCTGATGGGACAAGGACAAAACCCAAAGGGGAAAATGGTAAAAAGATGTGATCGGACCTCCCTCAAGGGGACACACAGAGAAGGCTGAGCAGTCACACGGTGGAGTGCTGAGTGTCAGCAGTCACTGCTAAGTCGCCCCATTGCTCAGGCTGGGCTGGAACTTGCAGTCCCCCTGCCTCAGCCTCCCAGAGCGCTGGGGTTCCAGGCGGGCCCCACATCACACCTGATCCTGGTCACAGCTGAGCGTCTCCGTTTATCAAGCACACTCAGTGATGTTTGTATAAGGACAGAATTGCCTCGCTGCCTCTCTTGGAAGGTAGGGCTGCCCTTGAGTGATACAGGACTGTGTACCCACTTCGGGTTACCAGCTACCAGGTCATAAAAAGGAGTAAATGATGGACACATATGACACCAGGAGTGCATTGCGACACGGTGATCCTGAATGAAAGAAACCAGATACAAAGGCGTGCCCGTCACAGGACTTGATGCTGTGTACAGAACTCTAGAAAATGTCAACAAGTTCGTGAGCCATCGCCCAGGGATGGGGCGAGGCGGAAGAAAGGGGTTTCAAAAGCTGCAGGCAATTGTGGGGTGACGTTGGTCCCCTGCGTCTACCGTGGCGCTGTTTCCGTGGGTGTTACGTCGGTCAGAAGCTGTCACTTCGTGTACTTTACACACATGCTGTTGATCGCTGTCGATTACGCCCCAATAAAACCTTTAAAAGGAAAGGAGGGGTGGGGAGGGGGTTTTAATGAGCACCAGATGCAGCTGGCAGGAGAAAAAACTTCTTGTCTTCCATGGGGTAGCTGTGACCGATGACACTAAGCTAGGGAGGGCCAGGCAGTTAGTGGAGAATTTTATCCATTTTATTTTGTGTTTTATCTTAGATTTGGGGTGGCCCTAGGGACTGAACTTGGGGCCCTGCCTATGCTGGGTAGGTGTTCTGCCACTGAGCTCTACATCCTTGGACCTTCTCATTTTTTATTTTGAGACAGAGTCTTACTGAGGTGCCTGGGCTAGCAGCCCAGGCTGGCCTCCAAATCATGGTGATCCTCCCGCTTCAGCCTCCTGAATACTAGTATTACAGGTATGTGCCAACCATGCCTGGTTCTGTGTGTGTGTGTGTGTGTGTTGAGACAGAGTCTTTCCAAGTAGTTCAGGCTGGCCTTGAATTCACTATGTAGCCAGGCCAGCCTTGACATTGTGCGATCCTCCTGCCTCAGCCTCCTGAGTGCTGGGATCACAGGTGTGAGCCACCATGCCCAGCAGGTGCTTGGCTGTTGTTAGAAGGCAGACTGAGGCTCAGTGGTGGTTCCAGCTAGGAGGGAGGGGTGGTGGTGAGCTGGGGACGGAGCCCCTGAACGAAGTCCTGACATGCAGGGTCAGAGGCTGCTGGCCACAGTGGCCTCCCTGGCTCCTTGGAAATGCAGACACCCAGGTTGCTGGGCCCTGCCCTGGGACACACATGCATGGTTGTTTTTGAACGCGTGCCCTCTCCTGGCTCACTGCTGAGGACCCTGTGTTTATACACACACGCGTGAATGTGTGCAGGTGTGCATGTGCCATGATAGCAACACTGCTGACCAAGAGAACTGGAGGCATGCAGGGCAGGCCACAGGAGGCCAAGAGGAAGGGGTGGAGCCCATGCTGGGCTCATGTCAGCCAGGGAGTGGGGCTGGGCCACATGGGTCTCAGGGCATGGCCGGGCTTACGACCAGGGACGGAGCCCAATGCCAGGCCTGTTCCTGGGCTGAGTGTTCTGGGTCCCACGGGCTGACCCTTCTCACTCCAGGGTTGGGGGAGATGCTGAGCCTCATCCTGCCTAACAGGAAATTTCTAGAAGGACCTGGAGAGACAGGTGAAGTAGCCACATGTCTGTGATCCCAGCATTCAGGAGGCTGAGGCAGGAGGATTACTGGAGTTTGAGGTCAGCCTGGGCTACATAGTGAGAGCCTGGTTTAAAAAAAGAAAGGAAGAAAGAAAGAAAGAAAGAAAAGAAGAAGAAGAAGAAAAGGACTGTGAGGGCTGAGTGCAGCCCTGGTCCATGGAGGGCTGGGATGTCCATTTTTGGGGAGGAGCCACAGGTCAGATTGGGCCAGGTCTGCTGGGGACCCTGTCCCACATCAGAGAGGCAGCTCCTCCCTGCCTCTGTCCTCTTGGCCCTCTGTGCTCCAAAGTCCCCCAACCCTTCCTGGGGTTTCCTTAAGATTCACTGCAGCTGATCCCGGGCCTGCAGCTGGGTTCCCTCCTGGTCCTCCTGGCCCCTACTCCCTAGGATGTATGAGCTCAGACATGTTGCACTCTCTGCCCCGCTCAGCCTCTGGGCAATGAGTGGGGTCCCTGGGACCCTCTCCTGTCTCCCCGGCCAGCAGCATAACAGGAGCCCTGGGGACAGAAGCGGTGGCTGTAGGGCTCAGAGCTACAGCTGGGAGGGAGGAGGGGCAGGGGGGGTCTGGGGGATGCAGGATCCTGGAAAGGGAACCCAGGATCTGCCTTTAACCTGCAGGGGGATGGCAGATGCGGGGGTTGCTGATTGCAGATGCTGGGGCACCAGGCCAAGAGGAAAGAAAAGAGCACTGGGCTCCTGGGTGACAGCTGCAGCTCTGTGGGACTGGAGACCTCCTTTGGGGACAGCTCAGTGAGATGCGAAGCCTAGGGGTTGTGGCCCCTGCTGCCACTGGCTCTTTGCCTGTGAGGTTTGGTGGCAGCTCTGAGTGGTGTGGGTGACCTACACTGGTTCGGCCGAAGCTGGACAGGAAGCTGAAGCTTGGCTGTATGTCTCAACCCTGGCTGGACTCGGAGCTGCTGCTGCTGGATGGAGGCCACAACCTTGACCTTGGAGGCCCAGCTGGTGTGGCCTGCAGCTGCCACTGTGTGAGCAGGGGACCTCATAGACCCTGAGCCTCACGAGGAGGTTGCTACCATCAGCAGAGCCTGGCATCAGCCAGTCCTGGAGCCTGACCCTGCGGGGCTCACTGGCCCCCTGGCCACATCGTCCCCCTCGGGTCCCCTCAGGGTGGTGTCCACATGTTGCACAGCAAACCTCTACATTTTGGTAATAAAAACCTAGGTGGGACATTGTTCTTGCAAGAATGAAGGACAGAGCCATCTTGAACTCCACAACCAAAGTGTTTGCCGCTGAAGACTCAGGAGGGGACCCTGTGAGATGACCATGGGGAGCAGGAGGGTATAAGAACCTGTGTGGGACAGGGCGGCAGCCACACGAGGGATGGCGTCAGGCGGAGGGACAGACACCTCCGTGGAGGGCAGATCCAGGAGGGTGTGGAGTGAGGGACACTTGAGCAGAACTCTTGAGTCTGAGTCTAAGAGACCCAGGGCCCTGCTCCGGGTGCAGGCCTGGCAGCTAACAGTGATGTCCGATTCATAGCAGCTTTTGAAAACTGGAAAGCAGGGAGCTTTTGGCTGGGGAAGTGGAATGGGGCAGGAGACCCCACGGGTGGTCGCTGTTCTTCCCCCGAGCTAGGGATCAGCTGCCTACGGCCTGCCGGTGCATGGAGGGGGAAGTGGTGTTCTGGTTCCTGGGCCAGGCTTGCATCCTAACAGGGGCCCTATGTGGCAAGGGGAGGAGGTGAGGTGAGGTAGGCGTCGCCCCAAATAAGCCCCTGGGTCCTAATCACCTGGCTGTTTGGCCAGAGATGGAGCTGGGCTGGGCTTGGCCTCAGTGGCTTTGGTGTTCACTCTTTTTCCTGTGGCTCAGGCACTTTTGTATTTTTTTGTCTTTTTGAGACAGGGTCTCTCTATGCAATTCAGGCTGGCCTTGAACTCACAGGAATCCTCCTGCCTCAGCCCCCTGCGCCCTGCTACACTGTGAAAAAATATTCTTAGCCCAGAAGGGCTTTGTTATAGGAAAAAGCCCTAGGATTACTATTTGAGAAGGTAAAGAAATAGATTTGACAGGGCAAGAATTCTTTTTTTTTTGTCTAAGCAAGAATTCTAATCTTTTTAAATATTTCAAATTTAGGTGACATTGTTATACATCTCCTAGAATTATTTAATCTCTGCCATTTAAAGCCTATAGTAATGTTCCTGAGGGTCACATAAATTTTCTTTTAAAGAAAAGGGGTTTCAGCTGGGTGTGGTGATGCACACTATAATCCTAGCACTCAGGAGGCGGAGGTAAGGGGATCCCCAAGAATGAGGTTAGCCTGGGCTACACAGTGGGAACCTGTCTCAAAAAGAAGAAAAATGAGGAGGACTTGAAAGGAAGCACCTATTATAGCCAGGTTAACATGTAGGTTAGACTTTAAAAGACACTGTCCAATTTTAGCGAAAGGGCTGCCGAAGAGAGCACAGGAAACTCTCCCCTCCTTGCTCCAATTCCTTTTCACTACCTGTGTGTTAACCCTGCTCTTTATAATCTTTCTTCACCAGATTGAGTGAAAAGAAATTCCGATGATCAAAGCAGGTAGTGCATCACTCTCAAAGAACTATTTAAAAACAGGAGGGAAATTCTACAAGTATCCCAGAAATCTCAGTGGGATGTTAGGCTTTGAAACCAGTTCAGGTACAGCAGCAAGAGTGTTATAAAATCTCAACCGAAAGCTTTAGTTTTGTAGACGTGGAACAACCAAATCCTTGATCCTAATTTCTGTTCCAGTCCCTCCTTCTATTCCTTTTTTTTTCTTTTGAGCCAGAGTCTTGGAACATAGTCCAGGCTGGAACTGAACTCACTTTGTAGCCCAGGCTGACCTTGAACTCCTAGTGAGCCTCCTGCCTCAGCCTCCCAAATGCTGGGATCACAGGTGTGTACCACCATGCCTGGTGCTTTTATTCCCTTAAAGAGAGACTATGAGAAAAAAAAAGTAAAACAAGAATAAAAGCTCAATTGTCCAAATTTACAAAATCAAAACTGTCAAATGGTGTCCGTAGAAGCCGGCAGGCAGCCTTCCTACCTTCGGCAGCATCCTGGAAGGCACAAGCACCCACGTGTAAGGCTAAGAACTACACGGAAATGCCTGGAACAACCTGCATCGCATTATCTGCTAGTTATCCCTGGGCCCCTGATCCCCTGGCAAGGCTATTTAACAAGAGAAAAACCGAACGCTAATGTGAAGCACCAGGAACACAGTACCTGGAGACAGCAGATGTGGACAGTTGGTCATGGATGGGCTTGGCACCCTCTCTGGGGTGTGGTCCCCAGAGCTGCCCCTAGACCTGCAGGCCCCTGGCATCGTCTAGTCTGGCTTCGCTGCTGCGCTCAGGCCTGGCTCGTGCACTGCCTAGGGACTTGCGAGTCTGAGGGGACCCACACTCATCTTCACCTGGCTCTGGGCCCAGAGCCACAGCCAAGTGCAGGGTTCTGACCTGGCATCCAAGACACCCTGCCTGACAGCCAGTAGCTGTCCATGCCCTGGCCCGGCAGGTGTACTGCTGGGAGGCAGGCCTGGGGCCACTGACGGGTGAGCGTGGGCTGTGTGCTAGGGAACACCCATGTCCCGGAAGAGACCTTGTCTTCTCAGAGCCAGGAGGAGGCTGGGCTGGCTTTTGGTGGCACAGCCTGCAAGTCAGCTGGTGCCAGGCGCGTGGAAAGGGAGGTGGCAGGGGCTGTGCTGGGCACATGCCTGCCCTTGGCTCTGCTGTTCTGGTTTTTTGCTTTCTTTTTGGAGACAGATTTTGTTATGCAGTTCAGGCTGAGCTTTGAACTCTATGTCATCTTTCTGCCTCAGCCTCCTGAGTCCTGGGATTACAGGTGTGCTGTCATGGTAAT